TTTTTTTTCTGCATGTGGCATGTGGCATGCAGAATCTCAGTTCCTTGACCAGGGATGGAACCCATGCCCCCTGCAGTGGAAGCATAGAGTCAACCACTGGACCACCAGGGAAGTCCCTATGGCTATTCTTTACTGAGATGAACTTCCCTGCTTATTTCCTGGAACTTGTTTTTTCAGTGTTGTCTTGACACACAAATAATACTGTGAAATCCTAAAATTATCTAGAGATAGGTTTTTCCACTAGCTAATTAATAAGTGGTAAGGCCACATCTTCCCCTTTTTTTGAATTCATTTCATGTTCCCTTTCTTAGAATAAAAAGGTCCAGGGCTTCCCTGGTGGCGCAGTGGTTGAGAGTCCGCCTGCCGATGCAGGGGACATGGGTACGTGCTCCGGTCTGGGAAGATCCCACATGCCACGGAGCGGCTGGGCCCGTGAGCCATGGCCGCTGAGCCTGTGCATCTGGAGCCTGTGCTCCGCAATGGGAGAGGCCACAACAGTGAGAGGCCCGTGTACCGCAAAAAAAAAAAAAAAAGGTCCAGAGGCTTTCTAATGAAATCACCCATGGTCATGATGTTCCAAAGTTCTGTCTTAAAAAAAATAGTAACCGTATAAGGAGATGATGTGTTAATTAGGTTGATGGTAGTGATCATTTCATTATGTATATGTATATCAAATCATCATGTCATACAACCTTGAATATGTACAATTTTTGTTAATAAAATAATATAAAGTAAATAATAAAATAAAATACATAATGACAGGCTAAATACATAAAGTTCACCCTTGAAAGTTGATACTTGCCATGATTCTCAACTCAGGAAAAACAAACCTTTATTTCTCACCTTTAACTTGCTGTATATCTTCTTTATGTAGCAACAGGTATCAATGCCTTATTGATATCATTCCTTAGCAAAAATTTATTGAATGAATGTCACTTAGAGCTCATTTTGATTTTTTTATATCATATGATTTTAGTACCAGAAGTTGAAGTCATCTTGGAGCTTTCCCTGCTCACACATCTATCTGGTACCTTTCCTAATGGCTTTTGACTTTATTTTTTCAATTGACTGTAGATTTTTTTCCTTCCTACAGGTCTTACTTCCAAGACCAATGGGAAAAGTACCTAAAACTCAGAGGGATTTGGGATGGCAGATCAGCCCCTACCTTCCCCAAGCCTTTTGATGTGAAGGAGAGGGATCAGTTCTACACCTCCGTGAGCTACTCTGGCTGGGGCGGCAGCAGTGGACACGATGCCCCCATGATTGCCTACGATGCCATCCTGGCTGCAGGAGACTCCTGGGAGGAGCTTGCCCACCGAGCCTTTTTCCACGGTGGAGACAGTGATTCTACAGCTGCCATTGCTGGCTGTTGGTGGGGAGCGATGTATGGTTTTAAAGGAGTGAGTCCCTCCAACTATGAGAAGCTAGAATACAGAAACCGGTTGGAAGAGATAGCTAGGGCTTTGTATTCTCTTAGGTCAAAGGAAGATACCGTAATTACCCTTTAGGGAGTAGTGACATTCATTTCTGGTGGTTTCTCCTCTTGTGTAGTCCCTTTTCTGCTCAGTTTCACTTTTTTCAAAGTCAAGAGTCTTAACCTTGTACTCAGGGAATTTTGAAATAATAGTCCCTTGGGCACCTGAAGGTCAGTCTTTCCAAACTTATTCTGTCCTCGCCCCCCACCCCAAATCTACCCCTCTTCCTATCCTGAAGAGTCTTTATCTCAGTTTATGGCATTAGCGTTTCCCAAATTAGAAATCTCATAGCCTCATATTGAGTCTTCATTTTTACCATCTAATCTTTTACTAAGTTTTTTTCTGTTTGTTTTAGGGTGGGTTCCCCAAAGTGGACTCTGAAACAAGGATTTGAGTGCAAGTAGTTTATTTGGGGGGTGATTCCAGGAAGCACTGTTAGGAGAATGGGGAAGTGAGACAGGGAAGGGAGGGGAGCCAGGACAAGGTGCGTTAATGAGCATGTTACCAATGTGGGCAGTTGGGACTCGGTCCATCTGGGTCCTCTGCGTAAGGCACTCAGAGTTGTCCCACCGACTTCTATCTGATGTTGGTGGAGGAGCACTCCCAGGAGTGCTAACTCCCTGGTGCTTCCTGGCTGCCTCTTGCGCAAGCCAAGCATGAGTGTCCTCAGGTAAAGTCTCAGAGATGTTTGCAGTGGCAAAGCTGTATGGCGCATGGGAACAGTGAGGGGTATATGTGGGGTCCCGATAGCATCTGCTGGTTGGTTCTACCTCCTGAATATCCTTCAAATCTGTTATTCTTTTACCTTTTTGCACCAAGTATGTTTCAGCTGGATTTCTGCAATCCAAGCTACTCAAGTCTGAGGAGAGGCTGCTCCTAGCTGTGCCCCTCTCATTTCCTGGGCATGGCACTTGACATGGTGCCAGTTTGTTTTTGCCTATTTACTTGCCTTTATTCTCCTCTAGACAGAACCCAGCCTGGTGCCTGGGCACACAGGAGGTACTTAATCAGTATCTATTAAATGAATGTTGTTTATTAGCCTCCTATCTGGTGCCTCTAATTCCAGTACTGCCTTCCTCATCGCCCTCCAGAGTGATCTGTACAAATAACAAATTGATCATGCTGCACTTCTAATCATGTACAATGAATACTCACCCCCTTTCTTCATTCCTCGGTGCTCTTCCCTCTCCTCTTTCACTCTCAAGCCCCAGCTCAGGTAGCATCTCCTAGATGAAACCTACTCTGACTGTTCAGGCTCTCGACTCTCTCTCCTCACTGCACCCACAGCCTTCTGTCTCTAGCCCTCTCACCACACTGATCCTGTTGTGTGGTGATTGTGTGTCTTCTGGGGACGATCTCAGGCTACTTGTGAAGGCTTGTGTCTTATTCTTTTTGTGGCCTCCCCGTCTGGCCCTTTAGAGATATTCAGTATTTACTTTGGAAGTTCATCAATTTATGTTGATGTGAATGGTTTCAATATGCAGTGCCTCATCTGTTTCGGATGCCCTCTGCTTCATGATTGTCAGGAGTGACCTGTGCTGACATGAAAGAGATAGAGGGTTTGATGCTTTAACCAGGCCTGTGTGCTGACTTAAATGAGACAAAGCTCTGAACTCTGTATTTGAAGCAGGACTCCAGCAAAGGCATGAGATTTATTATTCTTTTATACGTAAAGAGAGAAGAAAATTCCAAAGCTCTTTTTCTGGTTCAAAAAACTCTGATGTGAGCTGGGACGAAGTGAGAGAATGGTGTGGACTTATATATACTACCAAATGTAAAATAGCTAGTGGGAAGCAGCCGCATAGCACAGGGAGATCAGCTCGGTGCTTTGTGACCACCTGGAGGGGTGGGATAGGGAGGGTGGGAGGGAGACACAAGAGGGAGAGGATATGGGGATATATGTATATGTATAGCTGATTCACTTTGTTATAAAGCAGAAACTAACACACCATTGTAAAGCAATTATACTCCAATAAAGATGTTAAAAAAAAAAGCTCTGATGTGTATTTATATATTTCAGAAAACAGACGTGTTTTAAATATTACAACTAGGACAGCAGATTCTTCAGCAGG